GCCGTTGACTGTAATAAATGCAGGATTAATGCCTCAGGCCCTAGATCTCGAGTAATAGCAGACGGAAATACTGATCAAAGAAGTCTAACTGTGCCGTGGGTGTTCGGACTGCCTCTGTCTGCTTCTGTGCATTACAAGAAGACAGAGCGCGAAGACAGAGGAGGGATTTCCTGCAGACTTTCTGTTCAGGAGACAGGTGAGGGTTAGATAATCTTTAATTGGGGTACAATCACTGATTCATTGGGGAACTAAAGGTGGAGTGGTTTTTACTCCACATAGGATGTACAGATGACCTATAGCACACAGACATAAGTGTACGTGTGTGTCAGCCTCACGGGTTTTGGTTATGTTTGTTTGTGTGTGTCTGTGCAGGTCTTGTCAGTGTGTGTGTGTGTGTGTGTGTTTTGTTTCCCAGGAGATACGGCTGACACTTTCTCCAGGTTGCTGCACTTACTTAGGCTTTGTTGGCAGGACCAGTAGTCGGAGCTGCTCAGCAGCAGCCTGCTCTCATTACACGCAGTTCACATCAGGAAAATATACAACAGCAACAACTGTTGGAGCATTAGGGATTTTTTTTATGCATATGGGTCCTTTCTGCCAACTGAAATAAATCACTGTAATAAATGTGTAAAAGTGGTTTTGCAGTTAAGTTGAAACACTACAGGCGAAAAGCCATTTTTTAATCTGGATTCGAAAATGTTTCTGGGTCATGTTGGTGATCATTGTTGCGTATTTAACCAGAAAATTTCTCATTTATGCACAGGTTGCAGGAATAAAAAAATGTACAGGGAAAGCAGTTGTTTAAGAGGGCAGCTTCATGTTGACATTATTCTACTGTCTGCTTTTCTGCGGAAGTTGCCCTACAAATCAGTCAATACATTTTAAAACGAGGCAAAATCTCCAAGCCAATGTAGAGGTAGCATTTAAATACCTGGACAGTTTAAATGTCATTTATGAGTTTAAATAACATAAATTTGCAATTAATCCCCAAACATTCAAGCAGTGCCGATCGTCAGGAAGAAAACGCGACATGCACAGTCCAGCTTGGACTCTCTGTGTTGTTTTTGATTTGTTGGAGCCAAACACCGACCCAGAAAGGTTTTCTAATGAACACCAGGTGTACACCTTGTATATCAGTGATGATACATATGTGCTTGGCAATTCACTGTCATCTACTTGCAGCTTTATATTTAGCTGCAGTCATCAGGGAGTTGGGGATGCCTCTGTAGCAGCTGTAAATGTGTCCTTGTTTTTGCCAACATGCATCTTCATGCCCTCACAAATCTTCCCAACAATACGCCACAACAGGTATGACTTCCCCTCCGAGCCAGGACTGTAACTTTTCCTGAACAAAACGGTGGATAAATAGACATTTAAATGAACTGAGGCTTTGAGGCCATGTCTAATGTGTGAGCAGATTGTCATGCAACACATCAAATGAAAAATGAAGGACATCTTAAGTTTTGAAAGAATAAATTTTAAAGTGCCAGCGTCTCATTCCACGCCAAAAGAGACTTCTCTGCATCGATTTGCAAGTCTTCCACTGAAACGCGTGCGCCAGAATGAGTTGTCTGTCAGTCTTGGAGACGCCTGAGCAACCCAAGGTGGGTGGAAAGCATTAGAACAACAAAGACAAGAGAAACCTGAGTGCGAAATAAAGAGTGGCCATGATGAAGCTGGTAAAGGGCCGTGAAAGTGGGCTCCCTGCCGATCCCGCCGAGTGATGAGACGAGGGCCAAGGCCAGTTCTGGCTAATAAGTGTGAGCAAGTACAGCCAAGAGGCCTCAGCCAGTAGCCTTATAACACCTATTATCATCCTTCCTACAAGACATCCACGTGTTTCCATTTACAGGCTATTGCTTAAGCTGTGAAAGGCTCTTCTTTGTGAGCATGTTGACACCTTTCAACTTGTGTCAGTAAGAGTTGACAGGCTTTAATAGTTTCTGTGGAGGTCAGCCTGCTGCTTGGCGTGGACAGGTGGAGAAGAAGGACCAGGATACCCGAGGACATGCCTCACTGTGCTGATGGGAGGAAGAAGAGGAGGAGGAAGAAGATTTCAATGCTGGGGCAATTTTGTGGCCAGTAATTCCCTCTAAGGTTTCTGATACAGAGTAGCAACCCTGCAAAAGCAGAGAGTGAGGTTCAGACAGCCCACAGGGGACATAATGTGTCCTGAGCCAGCAAGGGAGGAAATATTGATGTTGACCTTTTTTTTTTTTGCTGTTATTATTATTGTACGTTTGCCCAAAAAAACATTGTAAAAGTAGCTGACAGATCCGTTCTAAGAGTAGTTGACACCATAGAATTTTATTTTTTTTATTTTTTTGTTCATTTAAAGCGATGCGGTCATGGGTGGACGAGCCCTGCTGGTCGTATCTGTGGTGGCTTGGCTTGGCCGTGACCTCGCTGGGTACAGTGCTGCAGTGGAAAATGTCCTGTCACTTGATGGAGGAGCTGCCTGTAGCGGTAGGAAGGAGTGTGGCGACAGGGGCCATGTGTGTTAACCTCTTTCCTTGTCACTTTTTCTGTCTTTCTTCCCCCTCAGCACATTCCCCCCTCCCCTTATCTCCACCTTTTTTTTTTTTTTTTTATTCTACTTTTTCTCTCTCAATCCGCGTTCCCCCAGACTCAACTCTCTCTCCCCACACTCCTCCATGACAAATTACTGCTGGCGGTTGATTTGTTGGTTGTCAAAAGTGCTCCCTGAGCTGGAGGTGTGGAGTGAGCTGCAGAAAAAGAAAAAAAAAAAAAGAGGTTCTCCACCATCGTCTGGCTGTCCAGATCACCTGCTCTTCCACCCGACCAGCCCTTCACATGTGCCCCCTCTCTGGAAATCGACATCCTGTCTCATAAGATCTCATTACATTAGATTTTCATGTCAAATCAGATCCTGTATTAAATTTTCCGTTGAGACTATTTCGATATGTCAGGAAAGGAGCTTGAGGAGGATCGTTTTCTTATTTATGGAAGAGGAAATGAAGCAAGAGCAAAGTGGGGGGGGGGAAGTGCGAGTGAGCGAATGATAAAGACTGAATGACAGAACTAAAAATGTCAGGATTTGTGATAGGCTGCCTGCTGTGGTAAGAAGCACAAACAGCTCCTTAGAAGGAAATCTGTGTTTGTCTGGATGATCTGATGAATTAATAGAATAAGCAGCTTACTCTAATGTACTGTAATATTCTTAATTTTACTGTTTCTGCAAAGATGTGACTGTGAAAACATGCAAAGCTTCTAAACAAAAGGATTTAACATCAATGTCATTGAGCGACCAGTTTGTTTTTTTGTTTTTTTTTTTATTTTATTTACCATATCAGTATTGGTCTATAGTATTAAATACTGTACAAATACAGGAATTTAATCGGGTTTGATAAAAAAAAAAACTGTAAATCCAATGTTGCCATAAAGTAGCCGTGCTCATTGATTTTCAGCTTTGCCAGCAATGACCTAATACAGCCACAGATATTGGAGGGATAAACCACTTTAGTGTCGTGAGTGCCGACAAATCTCTCATCTCTCACCCAGTTTGTGTACATTGTACTATGTCAATATCTACAGTATTTCTTTGCTGGAAGTTAAAGTGAAAGTTTACCATGAAGGAATAGGAATAATTTTTTTTTTTTTTACCGCCTTTGGGTGCAGTAGCATCTCTTTTGGAAAACGTTTCCACATGTTTGAACATGTCAAGATTAAAATAGTGGTCCAGTATTTTTTTTTTTGCTAGTCTTGCAACCCAGCTAAAGCTTTTTCTAATTGGATTAAAAGTAGATTTGAACATCATCTGGACTTTGACTAGGCCATTCTTGCATTTTGCAGCATCTTAAAGCCTCAGAATTTCGCTCTATCCTTTTTCTCATCCACTCTGACCAGCTTCTGGGATGTTGTGTTCAGGATTCAGTGGTATCTTTACATGTGGACCAAAAAAGTTTGGCTATGGTTTGCCGTCTCCTCCACGTGGCTAGCTTAAAAATGGATGTCGGTTGACTAACATTCATTAAAAGTTGCAATTTTATTAACAATTTGATTATGCTGGATTTTGTGTGTATCTGTGTAAGCAGGGCTGCCACACTTTTGAGATTTACATTTTTAAAAAGAATTTCAAAATTATGGGCTACTCAGCGTTTGTGGCTATTCTATGACAAAACTTTTGTAAAACACACTGAAGTTTGAGGGTATAACATGACATAACGTACAAAATATTTTTTGTACCAGATTAGAACTTGGTGATGGTATGTTGACAGCAGCTTTTGCGCGAGCAGAGGTGATTTGTTTTCACGAACGGCTTTTTGTCGCCCCACTCCGACTCGCTGTTTCTGCTCGCTAACAGTTTCACTTCTGCAAAAATAATCGAATATGTTTTCTTTTCGACCCTGGCAATACAGAAGCAGGAATGCTTTGTGCATTGCCATCAAAACACAGAGGAGAGCGAAGCAATCCACTCATGTTCGACAGTGTAAAAACTATCTCGTCGCTCTGTCTTTGTGTTAAAAGAGGGGTTAAGCTTTTATCCTATAAATATGGCTTGAAAATCCCTCTGTCAACGACGCATTCATTCTAAGGCCCGTATTAACATAAAAATGGGGGGCTTGTTATACAGTGAGATTTCAATAAAAAGAACACAAAATGCATTTAATGAAATTCAGATGCAGGGCCCTGGATCTCATTAAATGAGCTTTGTGCTGTTTTTCCAATCTTCTCTTTGTAGAGGGGGTCCTTGAGTGCCCTTAATAATGTGGCAGATTTCATCATATTCCTGATTTAAAGAGGACAATGTCTGCCTTGTTCACTTGTTCTTTTCTTCTTCTTTTTTTTTTTTTTTTTTTTTGCACATGGAAACCAATCTCCACAGATGTCCTCGAATAGTTTCTGAATCTGGATGGAGATGAAACTCCCAACTTATGGTGTGCTTTCTCTTTTACTTGTTGAAGTTTTGTTGGGGCTCTCCACTAACTCCTTTTTTTCCCCACTGTCCCTCCCTCCCCTCTTTTTCTCTCTTTGCATAGGATTTGGTTTCATAACTTTTGAGAGTGAAGACATCGTAGAGAAAGTCTGTGAAATTCATTTTCATGAAATCAATAACAAAATGGTAAGTTCACACATTTTTTTCTCCCCCCACCCCACAATTCCAGGTGGGAGTTGAAGGATTAATATTTGATTTGTTCTTTGCCCCACTATTAATAACAGACCATGTGTGTTTGTGTATGTGTGTTGTATGCACAAGCTAATACTCCCACATAGCCACACTTTGTGGGTCTCTGGGTCTCAGGGATGGGAAAGCAGTGGTGTGTACTGCCCACAAACCGTGAAATTGTGCGGCTGAGTTCTGCCTGTCAGGCTGAAGGGACAGGAGAGTGGAGTCTGTCCCTCTCCTCTCGTTTCTACGCTCCCCTCTTTTTCTCCCTCCATTGCCACATGCGCTCACACAAACACACAAGCACAGGTGGGGATGTCCAAGGGTGCAAGAAGAAAGCTACTGGCAGAGGCAGAGTTCATTAGTCAGGGATTAACACCTTCTGCTGAGTGCCAGCGATGCTGGTTTTATTTACACCAGTCGTACGGTCCTTTCAGAGTTTCTGCTGCAACTTTCAAAGCCATCAAGTCAGTCACGTATGATAAATTGACAAGGTCCGCCCTCGGTGTAGCGAGTGTGACATTAGGGCCTCCTTCGCCCACGTCCATCCTGTGAGCCTCTTGAGAAATCCTGCATCATTTGAACAGCTTCGTGGGCCGTGATTGACTGGAGGGAGTACTTGTCTCACCACCGTTCTTTCCGAGTGTGCACTCACTCCCAGGCCTCCACCTGAAACCAGCAGTCTGACTGACTGCCTGATTGACAGAACCGGAGTAGTATAACCTTCCTCACCTGGGAACAGACCAAGTCACATATGACCCCAGTACGCATCCCGGCGTAGCCTTCACATGGTGTCACATTCCTGCAAAAACTGAAACCTAAATCTATGGCAGAAATGACAATACTCGATGCTATACTCTGTCAGATCCTTTGGCATGCTGATGTTCATCAGTGGAAACCCCCCAAAAAAATAAGAAATGTAAAAAACTGTCACATGTGAATATACCAAATGTCAACAAGTCCCAGTTTGGATTTTACAAGCAAGTGACACATTATTTCCAAATAAAGTCTCACTTCTGCCACCTTGAATCAGGTGGAAAAATACTCTCACAAAAGCATTTGTTAAGCACTGTCCAGTAATTTGCTGATGACTAGAGTGGAAACAGAAGTGCTAATTAACAGACTGAATGCGCCGAATAAATAGTTCAATAATAGCACAATTATCAATTTATAAAAGGGTTTATTTTATTCTGTAAAACTATGTTTCAAATTAAATGGTGGAAGAATGCATTGATTTCTCAGAACATGCAGATATGGTTATTTAGCCGTAAGTACAACAAGGGCATTGTGTTAACAGTGGCTCTTAATAGGAACAGAGGCTCTTATTAAAATTTAAAGTTTTGTGATTAAAAAATAAACTGAAATAAGAAATTATTTTCAAACTTTCTCAGTCTTTAATATGTCATATAGCTAGTGCAATTAATCTGTACAACTAAGAAAGCTGTAATACAATTTCAATAACATGTTTGACATTCTAATATTCTGTCAAAAATATTTTGAATCAACTACAACATTTAATGTTCTTTAATAGGAGATATGCATGCATCATAAGTTCAAGAGTTAAGGCCATTCCAACGTCTTTCTTTTGATGATTTTTCACTCACTGTGATGCTGAAAAATGAATTTCCTCTTCAGCTTTCTGGCAACATCTAAAGTCTACCAACATGTCTCCGTTGCACTTCTCTGCCTTCAGTATTTAAGAAGGTTTTAGGGGACTGTAGCCATCCCTGAGTGTTTTCTCTGGAAAAAGAGCTTTTATTTTTCAACCATGATTTCATACCGTGTCTCCTCTTGATAACATCTCTCATTAAAAATACCGGAGGGTCACTGCCACACCTGTGAAACACCTGTGAATTGAAATCTCGTAAGAGCCTCATTGAACAGTTTCCAACTTGTGTTTTCATTGTTTTGGAATAACATCTAATTTTTCCCATATAAATGTTACTGTGGAGTATTTTTGTAACCTTCTCTTGACTGGTACCTTGCTAGAAGGAGATCCTTTTGATTCTTTGTGTAGCATCCAATGCTACACATTGGAAGTGAGCAAGTCTGAGGACGATCCAACTATATAACTGAACTCTATTTCAATCAAAAACAAATGACGAAGAGAAAGGTCTGCATTTTGAAAGAATTCATTTTTAATGTGCCAATGTCTTATTATATATATTAAACCAACTTCAATGCATTGAGATATTCTGTATAATTGATGATGCATCGGAAGGGGAATCAACAATATCTTGTCTGTTTTATATTTTGCCTCAAACATTTTTTTCACTTGTAGTAAAATTGTAAAGGATAAATGCCATATCAATGGTGGAAAAATAAAAAATAAAAATCATAGTCTCAGTGTCTAAGTTGAAAGTGGATACTTGTAATGGTCACTGTAACTTCAAGTTTGAACAAGGTTTATTGTGAATATTTTTATATTTCTTACAATTTACCAATTCAAATTTGCTGAAAATTGCTGATTTATTTACTTGGTTAAGTGCTTGAATTTTGTTTTGGTTGCTTTTTATCATTTTATTTCTTTAAATTTTCCATAATGTTCTAACGCAGTGTGTCTTTTCTACAACTAGTACAATTGCTGAACAGAAATAATCCTTCAAACAGCTTTAAAGGCTCTGTTACAAAGCTGAGAAAATAAAGATACAAGCTTTATATGCCGATGATAATAAGATGCATGTTTTTTTTTTTTATTCAGACTGAAATTACGGTCAATTTTCTCCAAATCCAAGTGCCTGTGTTGTCACAAATATTTAAATGTACAACATTCCTGAATACACCTCGGTTATGATTCAGAGAGATACTTGGTCAGCTGTGGCATGTTTTCATGCAGTCCACAGTTGCTTGTTCAGCTGCTAAAAACATCTGCTCGAGTGAATTTAAACTCACACAGGGCAATAATGTCAAGCCAACTTCATAGCTCCTACAGTCTCTGGCATGTCAAGTAAATTCACAGGTTTTTCTGATTCAGGATGTAACATGGTTTTTGTTTTCAAATTGTGGTTAGCAATAAATTTCCATTCATCAAGTGTGTTGATTTTATAGTCATCATTTGGGGATTGTTTTTGTTTATTTAAGCTGGTTCATTTTTCAGGGTGAAATGATAAAGCCTCAAGAAAGAATGAAGTGCACAAGTGTTTTATTCCAATTCACACAGAAAAACCCCCACAAAAACAGGCTTAAATATTTACATATGTCCCCATTATTATTTAAAATTTGTCTGTCATGTTAAGTTGGATCACAACTACGTACTTCCTGTCGCTATCATCAAGGATTCAGTAAAGTTATAGCTGGAAGTTGAACAACTCTTCTTGGCAGAATTAGCACAGATAATTATTTTTTTGGAGGAGATCATTCCAGAGGCTTAACATAAGACACTTTTATCCATTCTTAAACCAGATTGATTTGTGTTTTGAGATGACTAAAACACTAGATAATGTTCGAGCTTTATTTACAGTTAAGCCCGAAATTGACAATTTGTTCTGACAACATGAAATATATTTGTTCTCACTGCGCGATGGTGACCTTTTTTATGATGGCATTTGTAATAGTAGTTGCATTTTAGAAAAATGCAACCAATTAGATATTGTTCTGCATATTTGTTTTTATTAGTAAGGTCCACATATGTCATTGTTTTTCATGAGAGTAACTTGGAAAAATGGGGAAAAAAAAGCCTTTTTTCCCATCAGAGATAAACAAAAAGGTAAAGTCCCAGTGGCTTCTTTAAATTTAGATCTTTGTTGGGACTCATTAATGTAAAGCTTGCCAAAACATATATTATTTTCATTGAGATCTGTTGTAAGTAGCATTTTTGTGTCCTGATAATATATAGCAACTGAAATTATGTGACATGGGAGGCTGGAAGGGAAGTTGTGAAATTTATTGTTGTTTTCACCTCCTCTCATTTTCTTGCCAACAACATTGTGGCTCATTTTACACATCTGACCCAGGGTTGAGCCACAGAGTGTGAAACCGTAAACAACTGTAAGCGTTTAGTCAACATTTTCTAATGAGGGCTTTATGAGGTGTAAAATAAACTACTATGGATGGGAGAGAGTCACTTACAGTTTTGACTGCCAGTAAATATAGATGCATGAGCTTAACCAAACCTGAATTATCTTTAAGGACTGTAATGCTTTTAGCTTTTCTGCAGTGAGTAGTCATTATCGCCATAGAAAATACAGCTGTCCTTTTTCTAGCTACTTCCATCACTCTCTCCTCTGACTTAATTTTAAACATTTCCAAAATATTAAAAATGAATAACTTTGAGTATTCTTCACTCAGTAATGACATCCACACTGAGGAGCTTAGACGTGGTACTTTCATGGTGGTTTCACCAATCATTAATGTCTCTACTTGTATCTGTGATCTGCTGCTTCACATCTTCCACCTGCCTCCCAAAGTGCTATTTGTAGCTTTTATGTTCTTTATAAATAACAGCACACAGAGAAATATTTTAAACCATCAGGATAAAGTCTAAGGAGACTTGGCAGAAAATGTGGGAAAATATTGAGCTGGTGCTGTGTGAAGGGATATTACCAGAGTCAGTTTTCTGAAGCTTTTGTCGCCTTTGTAGGGTCCCCCTCCTGATAACACCTACAGCACATTAAAGGTGTTTGGATACAGAGAATAAATGTGACGCTCAGATCTTCTACAAGGTGTTGACATTTTCTAGCATCTGCAAAGGGAGAAGAATTTGTGTGTTTAAAGCCTTTTTTCCTCCCTCATCATAGAGCAGTGGTTATTCACTGACTGAAGCACACAAAGTAAAAAATGTCCCCTGTCTTCATCCTTATGAAGTACTATACAGAAATAGACCTCATCCATCCTGCCCATGACTGTTATCTGAGATGGTCTCGTGAATAATTGATGTCGACAGAAATTCCACCCCGCTTGGGAAGGTTGTGGACGTACAGGACAGCCCACCTTCTCGTTGTCCTTCCTCTCAAGAG